TCAAGACCCAGTTGCTGCTATGGGATGGGGTGTGCTCCCGTCACACCTCCAGCTTCTGCCAACCCCGCTGTTGTGGCCCACAGGCAGCAGATTCGGACAGTGAGGAGGTTGGGGAGGAACATGGGCCAGTCTTGGAGTCTGGGAAAGGCTCTGTATCGGAGGCAGAGAGGGAGCCAGCGCCGTCTGACAGTTATCAGCTGCCTTCGGAGACGGAGATCAGTGAGGCAGAGGAACAGCTGGAGCCTGTTCCCAGAGTGCGCATGCGCAGAGCGGCCAGACGAAGGGAACAGCTAAAGAACAGGGGCCGACTCGGGAGTAAAGCCACAGGTGGACAATGAATGGCCCCTCCCGGAATAAATAAAAGAGGAGCAGAAGGGGAGTGGAGTTTGCAGGAGACTTATTAGTTGGCTTCATTGGTTCGTGACTCTCCGAGATTCCTTGCCAGGTTTTGCAAATCTCGGCCTGGCAGCTCTCCAAGTCACATAAGTTCTGTGACTGTAAATCCTCCCTCGAAAGACTTTGCTGGAGGTGAAGGAGCAGAATTCACAGCAAATTAATAAAAGGGCTTTTGTCGGGACAAGGAGTTGGCTTCGTGTTCTTGGGAAGCCTCGGTCAGAATAGATTCCCGAGACAGCTCGCTGTTTCGCTTGGCAGTGCCAACTGTGCTGGGGGAACCCAGCTTCGGAGTGCAGAGAGTGGCACAAGGTGGAAGGAAGCGTGTGTGAACAAGTATTTCGGGGAGGGCAAGGTTGAGTTTCGTTCCAAAGTGAGCCAACCCTGCCAGCTCTTCCCCCAAGCTAAGATTTCGAGCCCAATGTTTCCCTCTTGCTTGTAAAACAGGTACCTTGAAATCAGGTGTGTCCAAGAGGGTGGATAAAAATCGATGATTTTAAAAAAAAATTAAAAAATGATTTTTTAAAAATTTAAATCAGTTTTTTTTCAATTTTTAAATCAAATTTATTTTAATAAAATGCTTTTGGAGTAAAAAAAAATCCATCTAAAGACAGCTTTCTAGTTAAGATGCATGGATGATTTAAGTTTATTCAGCGTGAAACGGAGCTTAGTTATGTAGCACGAGGCTGTAAATATTCTGCAATATTTACATTTTTGGCTAAGCTCATTCAGTGAATTCAAGCTCTAACATAACATGCACCGCATTGGTGCATTCCCACAATTTCACACTAACCATGAGATAAAATCATGAAACGAAGTTCGGGAATATTCCTTTATCCCATGGTTTTGCAAATCTACGTACATGACAAACTGTACGATTAATTTCTGAAATGTATCTGCACCACCAGGCTCGAAGTGTGAGGAGGAAGCGAAAACAGTAAGAATGAAAGGGAAACTTTCTAAGCAGCTTATAAATACCACATTTCCCCCAAAATAAGACAGGGTCTTATTTTCTTTTGACCCCCGAAATAAGCGCTCGGCCTTATTTTGGGGGAGGTCTTATTATTTTTGAGGTACAGGAGGCAGCGAGCGGGGTCACCTCATGGCTGCTGCTGTGTTGCAAAGTTTTGGAGGGAGGATTTATTTTCGGGGGAGGGCTTATTTTAGCGCATGCACTCAAAAGCCCGATTGGCCCATGTCCCTCCACCAGCCGTCCCATTAAAGTGAATGGGACTGTCGGGGAAACGATAGCGGGTCAGGGGAGGAGCCGTTGCGGGACGGAGATGACAGCTGCTCTTTAAGAATTAAAATCAATCGACTTGATTTAAATCAAATCCACCCAGGCCTCCAAAGTTGCTGACTTTAAGAGCGGTGGACTTCAATAACCAGAAGTCCCCCAGCCAGCTTTAAATCAGGCCTCAAGTGCTCCACCCCAACCCTGCTTCCCAATTCTTCCTTCCAATCGCCTTCAGGAAGTGAGGGGAGCCGAATGTCAACTCTGAAGCATTCCTGAGAATTAATTAGGGCATCTGTTGGAATCCTGACACAGGCAACCTTCCGGAAAGTTTTCTTACCTGCCTGAGATTGGGCACCCGTGGTCCCCGGCTCGGTGGGGTTCGCAGCCGCCGGCCCGGCGTTGTGAGCCGTGCTCCCGGGGACCTGTGCGCTGTGCCCGGGGGGGTTATTGCTGAGAGACGAGCCCCCACCACAGTCTGAATCTTCGATGTTGCCTCCGCTGTTGCAGCCGGCTCCGCAGCCTTTTTGCAACCTGCGAAAAGAACAAGAGTTGGAAGGGACCTTGGAGGTCATCTAGTCCAACCCCCGCTCAGGCAGGAAACCCTATATACCATCTCAGACAGATGGCTGTCCAGTCTCTTAAAAGCCTCCGGTGATGGGAGTATACCAATAACTACTGGAGGCAAATTGTTCCACTGATTAATGGTTCTCACTGTCAGGAAATTCCTCCTTATTTCTACGTTGCTTCTCTCCTTGTTTAGTTTACATCCGTTGCTTCTTGTCCTGCCTTTAGGTGCTTTGGAGACTAGGTTGACCCCTTCTTATTTGTGGCAACACCTCAAATATTGGGAGACTGCTATCATGTCACCCCCTAGTCCTTCTTTTCCCTAGACTAGCCATACCCAATTCCCGCAACCGTTCTTCATATGTTTTAGCCTCTAGTCCCCTCATCATCCTGGTTGCTCTTCTCTGCACCCTTTCCAGAGTCTCAACATCTTTTTTATAGTGTGGGGACCAAAACTGGATGCAGGATTCCAACTGTAGCCATACTAAGGCTTTATAAATTGGCAGAAAAGGGGGGGGGCATGTCCTTAGGAGCGCCCCGGTTGCAGGCAGGCACCCCTCAAACCGTTGCAAAAGACCTACCCTGTGAAGATGGGCCTTTACAGCCCCTTCTCACCTCCCCTGCCAAAAGTCGAAGAAAGAGGTTTTCCCGGCCCTTCCAGGGAAGGAAATGGGGAGACCAGTCAATCAATCAGAATAAGAGCTGGAAGAAACCTTGGAGGTCTTCTAGAGCAGGAGTCCCCAACCTTTCGGGCGTCAGGGACCACTAAATTCATAATTTTAAATCCCACAGACCACTAATATGATCTGCCTAATGAATGACTGGATGGGCGTGGCTGGATGGTCATGTGACTGGGTGGGCGTGGCCAACTCGATGTCACTCACGTTGAGGGGCCCCTCGCCATCCTCTCCTCGCTCCCCCCCCCCCAGCCACTCCTCGCCTGCCCGCTTGGGCTCCTTAGGGCCCCAACAGGAAGCAGTTGCTGGAGTTAAGCAGCCACCAGGAGAAAGAGTT